TCAGTGAAATGCTGGCAAACTACCTGTATGAGTTACAGAGAGTGGGACCTCAGTCTGCCTGGGAAAGCATCATGACCTCTTACCACTGGAACACAGACATCTGCAATAAGCACTATGAGAGGCAGTAAAATGGACCTTTATTTTCAGATTTTGGAGGCTGAAATGTGGGTTTAAAACGTTTAAACTTTAGTTTAAATAATTGTTTAAAACATCACCTAACACAGTGAAGTGACTCTCTGCCATGGGCCAATATGCCACCCACACAGAGCCCCAGTCCAAGCCAGTGGCACGTTGTCTGTCTACATTCTGCAGAAGAGTCAGTTTTCCCCTGGTTACAATGAACTACAGATGTATGCAAAATCTATTAAAGTTTTGGGGTTTTTTACATTATTGCATTCAAGCATCTTTTCCTTAAACTTATCTCAAATAGTTTTCTTCATACACATTCCTTCCTTCAAAAAAGGCAAAAAACATTTTGCATGTACAATCTATTTTCTCTGCTTTTTTATGTTAGAAAAGAGAAGATTTTACTAGCAGAAATTTTTCATATTATTTACTTTTTAGTCACCATCTTGATAATAGTGCTTAAGGAAATGCTTAGCTGTCAAATTACGTGCAATTTAGGTATTTGTTTACAAAAGCTGTATCACAAAACCTGCACTTCCCCCTTTCTAGCAGAATTCTGCCAGAGCCAGCCCCTCTGAAGTCCCCCAAAACTCCAAAAACTTCACTGGTTGCAGGTGTACCACACGTTGCATGTGCTGTTTAGGAGGTGGGGGGGAAGCATGACAATGTCTTGTCATTAAAGCTATACAGAAAAGACCTGCTTACCTCAGTGTCAGTCCCCACTGATGAAACACGTGGTTTTCTCTCATGGTAAAAGACAACCTATCTTTTAAAATGGATCTGACAGGTATTTTTACATTGCTTTTTCCAAAGAACAATGCTAAGGCAAATATTTTGGTTAAAGTATATATTTTAAATAGGTTTCTTACCTTTGCTACCACTAGCACATGGAACTGCTGAAGGAAGCAGTTTTTACAAGGTCACTTCCATCTCATATCCTGAAGTATCAGAGTGCTGGTGTACTTTGGTCATGTTGAACACTGAAGCCTCCCTGAGTTCCCAGTCTCCACATAGCCCAGGGCAGCAAACTCCAAGTCGCTAAAATGGCCTTCTGATACTACTTCTTACAATGCATTGCAACAGTTCTAACTAATTTTCACTGCAAATTTAAAAATTAATCTGTTTTAATCAAGAGAGTTGAATCTACTTTTAAACATTTTGCTGTTGCTTATCGTGATCTATTTCACCCTGTTTGTTCTTAATCTAATGTCCCTTCCAAATATTAACAAATGCGAAGCCTGCAGTGAGATGTGGTGCTACGGATTTTAGCATACACATTGGAAACACTGCAAAACAGGTTTGTAAGTTCAAAAAGAAAAATGGCTTTCTTTGACAGAGACTATGTCAAGTGAGCTAAACACCAAAATACTGTTCAGTCTGAAAGAAAAACATATTTCCTGCTGCAGTTGGGAGATCCATGGTAAGGCTGCGTTATTCTAAAAGCGATAAAAGGGTTTCAAAGAGAAAGACGTTCCTTCCTCTTTTCTGTCAGTTTAAGTCTTGAATGGTTCCAGTGAAGTGACTGAGGTTACTTAGTCTTTATAACTCTGTAACCGAAGGTCACTTACCAATACATCTCCTGGATAGTTTAATTGACAGACACGTCCTCTACTATTTGGTTCAAAGTTTCTGTACCTCTGCTGTAGCCAAAAATATCTTAATTGGGAACAAACCACCTCCAAACTGGTCAAAGTCCTGTCCCAGAAAGCAACAAAGAGCTATATCAATGATTCACCATATCCTTCTAATGAGTATTGATAATTATCTCCTTCCCAGCTCCCCAGATAAATACAGTGGATGGGATTTCCCGTGTTGATAAGTAAAACCTTCCTATTTTGGACAACCTTTCTATCTAAACCCTTTCATTAATTCATCAAAACCATAGCTAATGTGCTTGTCTGTTTCCACCACTCCTTGAGAAAACTTTTCCAGAAGCCTACACTTGTCTTGGTTCCCCTAATTTTGAGCTTACATATTAGGGTCACAAATTGAAAGTACAAATTAGGAAAAATCAATAAAATCTCAAAAATAAAGCTGTACCCTTCTGTCTCAGGACATTATTAATGGACAACTAAGTAAAATTAAGTTGTGAGGACTGACTGCAGAAATGCCCCTTGCTCCAGCATATATTTCCTGCTTTGTTTTCCAAGCCACACTGACGTCATCTACCTGGAGTCGTGCCTAGACTGAGGCATGCAGTTTCTACTGTCACCAGTGAATTCCCATCGAGTATCAGGGCCTCTGTACAGCCCTGTAGTTGTGACACTGCCACTACGGCACAGTCAGGGTACCACTGGAAGCATGGGCACACTTCTTGCCTGGCATGTGCCAGAACTTTCTTCTGACTCTAGAGCTGGGATGTTTGGGGATGGGATTCAGAGGGGACAAATATCCAAACATCTGCACTGTAGATGACATGTTAATACCACTGCAGATTTAATCTTAGCAGGAAGAAATCCAGTATTGAACTAATTGAATGAATGTATTGGGGTGCTCCAAAATGACAGATAGCATGTAACTTTCTCCAAGTAACAGCTATCTCTCACCTAGCCAGTAACATCTTTTTCTTACAAAATTCCTTAGACAGATCCAGGCCTCACTACAGAAGTTCAAAGACATTGGTATAAACACCAGCATTTAAAAAAGGGAAGGAAAAAAGCACTGGTGTGGCCCTGCACTGTATTGTTTTCTGTACAGAGAAAAGTAGTATGGCTCTCAGAGGTGCTGGTAGGGAACATATAATCCTTGATCCATTTCAATCAATTAGATAAATGTATCTACTTCTTCCTATACCAACCAGAATATACAAACCTTTCTGACATAGATCAGGGACATCAGTGACAAGGAACAAGCCATACCATTCAGAAATCAGATATTTAATGGCCACTAATCCTATCATAATAATTACAAAATAATGTAATGATGAGCCAGAGTAAACAAAATATATGAACAAAAATGGCAAGGAAAAAAAGCAATTAGAGTCTTGGGCTTGTTCCAACTCCCTTTTACTGTGGGAGTTCTGATAGACTATTACCCCTATGTAATTAGAGGTTTAGGCTTAATCCAGTTCCCGTTTCCTTTGGGGGGATTGGGATAGGCCCCTATGCCCTAATTTTCTGCTGTCCTGCCCCTTGTATACTCAGCTCTGTATAAGCACCTGCTTCACCGTGCTGCTACTCTGTATCGTATTAGGGAATCACATTTCCAGACTCAGGTAAGAAAATAGTGCAAAATAATCGTCAGTACCTCTTTTGCACTCACTTTGCATGGGCCTAAATTATTAAATGAAGCAATACAAAAATCAAGTTTTATTTTTATTCAGGGTGTGGGAGACAGAAATACTTTCATTTCTGTTGCCATTATAAAAAAATTTCTCGTTCTTCGGATAACTATGTGAAATGCTCCCACTTCAGAAATGTTACTTCACTTAACAAATTAAGTAGACAGAACAACTGATGAATATCATCTCTCACTTTGGCTCACCAGACAGCTCAAAGTGCCTGTAAAACATTTAGTAGGGATTGATATTCCAAACTTGGCATCAGAAATCTAAAGGTTTGTATTTCTAAGCATAAGGCAAAAGCAAACAAAAAACCCCCCAAACAAACAAAAAAAAACCCAGAAACAAACCAAACCAAAAACCTCCTAAAACCAGTCCTGGCCATATTCTGCATTCCCCTAAGAAACAAAGGCCAGATTTCTCACAGTGTTGTAATTTTGGGGTTTTCTCTGTGTGTGTGAATGAGAGAAAATACATTTCGTTTTCTGCAAGAATATGGACATTATTATCTTAATATATCTTTAACGTTGGCTATCATTACTAACCCTGATGTTGTCACAAGCACTCAGTGGTCAGCATTCTGTATACTAAGAATATGCTAAATGTCTGCAAATTAGTAAAAGTAAACTTCCCTTGTATGCACTCTTCTGCACAGACTTATTCACCTTTCCAAATCAGACCAAAGCAGGGTGACCATAACTACATGAATATGAATGCATCCATACATTACAGACAAGCACAAGTGCTGACTAGGACACGCAGAACTCAAATGAACTCAAATATGAGCACTGACAAACACAGCTAAGAGAGTGTTGTTATGACTTACATCACCTTGGAGGAACTGGTAAAATGGATTGGATGTATGTCCAGACAGACAGAAAAACAAACAGAGAACACTTCACCAACACGCAGACAAACGCAGAGAGGACAGTCAGAGAGTATATCCATTATGTAGGCATTTGCATCCTGGCTACAAATCCCCACATTACTGCCTGTCTGACCAAATCAGAAATTTGTTTCAGCTTGAACCATCTTTCTTTTCTTTCTTTTCTTTCTTTTTTTTCATAGAGGGACCTGTATAATGTTTCAAAGCTACTAATTCGATTAAATGCATGCGCACTTTAGTGTGTACATGCCAGCACTTACACACATTCCAGAGAGAAAACCCTATTTTCCAGAAAAAAATCAGCTATTTTCCCCTGTCAGGCTCTTTCTCTTTATAAGCTGCTGCTGTTCAGCAGTAAGTGGGAAGGGAGAAGCAAAAATATCAGCTATTAAATAATAACTACTTGGATTACATTTATAAAGATCATTTATTCCCACTTTACTTCTTAAAGTTTTATTTCCAAGTATGGCTTTCCATCTACAGCCTTGTCATGAAAGATCTGACTTGGAAATCTAAGCATGGAAGAGCAGAAATAATGAACCCTTTGGTTAGTACACATAAATTGGAGTTAAAGGAACTCTGCTGATGCCTTTCCTCTTCTTACTGACATGGTGCCATACATGTATATATCTCAATACAGGTAAAATATTTTAAAAGCATTGGTTCCTGAGAAGCTAATATTCTAAATTAGACTAATCCCAGACATACCTTGGGGGGCACAGAGAAAAGGGAGGAATAGCGTAGAGAGGCTTGAGCAGTGCAAGGGTTTTCTACAAGAAAACAGCACGTAGGTGCTGTTTGGTTCCACATAGTCCTTGCCATTTTAATCATCCTTTTCAATCTGTTATTGTGGACATTTCACTGGTAGATCTCCTCTGAAAGGACTTGCAGAAGAAATTTGTCCTGAGGAATCTGCCAAAAAAGACAGTAGCTGAATAGCAACAGTAACTGAGAGCTGGTGTAATAATTTTGAGAATAGAGGCATCCTGAGAATCAGTGCAGAGATGAGAATGAAAGGAGAGGACAAATCCTACCACCTCACTGTGGTAAGATTGTACAGTCCCACAACAACTAGCTGCCTCTACTCCAAAAGCAAACTGAAGAATAAATCCAGTCAGAGAGAGAGCTTGACAGGTGTAGTTATGGCACCCAGTATTGACAATAAGTATTAACTCAGGGCTCACCAAATCATAGAACTCTTTGGTGGTTTCTCATTTGTTAAACAGGGAAAAAAGTTTTAGGGTTTTGTAGGAACCTTTTTATTACTTTTTCCCCCTATTTAAATGGGATTATAACTCAATTAACCTTGGTAAAATCTTTGGGGATCTCCAAGCTAGCAGCACTACATATGTAACAAGAAACAGGTAGCAGGTGCTGGAGTATTTAAAAAGATAAATGTCCACACACAATTCCCTGTCTAGCCCACATTTTATACTAGCAAGTCTGTGTATAGCCTGGTAGTCAGAGCTGTCAGTCAGTATCAGTAGTCAATATAGATGTTTACTGCCCTATCTTAGTCAATATAGATGTATGCTGTCCTCTCAGATGTATATGCTAAGTTTCTTCTAACTCCCTTTATCATCAATTATTAAAACCTGGTGCTTAAAGGAAAATACTGGTTAAACCAGAGAAGTTTTAGGGATGTCAATGATAAATCAACATTTTAATTGTATGTATGGGTATTAAAATAGATGTACATGTGTAAATAAAAAGAAAACCTTAGTGGACCATACTGACTATAATGAATAAAGCTGTTGATAGTTTTTAAAATTTTAATAGAGCCTTTAAATATTAGACTTTTCCAGCAGGATGCACTGGTGAGATGTACTGTCTAGTATGCCCTTGGCCAGAATGATCCTTACACACATGCAGTTCACAAACGTTAGGCAGTGAGCTATAAGCTAATTATTTTCTTGGCTGCAACCCACCCTCTAAGCCTGGGCATTTCGTTGTAGAAGGAATTCCTGTACTTAGGTCATTTGCAAAGCACCACGAGATCCTTTGGGTTGAATGTGCAGTGATAGCTGTACACAAAAAGAGAAATTAATAATAGAAGGGTTATATTTCTGCAGCATTTGATTGGCTAAAATGTACTAATCTCAGAGACAGACTTCAGTCTTCTTGAGCTGTGAAACAATTGCATGTACGTACGTGTGGCAGTACATGTTACAACACTTCCATAGTTTAGGTTTTACTGTTGGAACTCCCTCACAAAATTTCCAGGTAAAACTATAAAGAAGATATATGGTGGAATGTATTGTAAAGCATAATTGTAACAGTGTTTAGTTTGGGGAGTCTTTGAAGCACCCTGACGAAAACAGGGAGAGAGCTGTGCAGGATGTTATTCTCGGGAAAGGTTCAACACAATCCTGAAGAATCACTGAAGATGCAAAGAGGCTTTCAGTCCTGGTCATGCCATTTAAAAAACAGATGAGCTAAGCAAGTCAAGGAATTACATTTCTGTTAAAACTGAAGTCTTTCTAAGGTCCCTAAATTAGTTATATATTTTTGATGCTTCTTGAAAATATGTACATGCTCCTAATTTCAATCCTATTAACGTAGCAGTAAGGAAATTTGCATCAATATCTTCCTGTCTAGGTAATTTAATTCCCCTTTTAAAAATAAATTCAAATTAGCAACAATAAAAGAAAACACAAAAACTCTGTTGAACTCAAGTAGTTACCATAAGCAACCCCCCTAAACCAATCAGGCATTGTGCACAGTTATTGTTTCTTGAGGAAAGAAATCCTGAGAAAGGGGACCAACCCCTGTTCTCACAAAAACCTATACTGTAATTCCCATTGGCTGAAAGGAGAGTGGGGCAGAAGAAGGGGGACACTTGATACCAGGGCAAGGTGTGCTAACACAAGCTGCGTGGGGAGAAGGGCCACGACAAAAGGTGGAATATTTTAGGCCAGCAGTAGCAACATTACCAGAGTTGCTGGGAATGCTGTATTCAGTCTCATCACCAAACACTTTAAAAAAGAAGCTGAATTGTGAATCGTGACAAGCTTAAAGACACATGACTGCCTCACAGCACAAATTTCTTAACAATTTCAGTAATCATTTTGTAATAAGTTTTGTCACTCTTTTCAGTCTCTGACTTTCAGGTCATCATAGGCATTCTGCATTGCAGTCCAGGTCACCAATCTACAATGAACAAAACTCATTTTCTAGTACTTGTTAGTTCTCATCTTTTTAATTACTGTGTACTAGAAAAGCCCTGATTTTGTTTTGGATAACAAATCATTCAGAGGAAAGCTGAAATCCAAAAATATAAACAAAAACATTGTATATTTCAGGAAGACATTAAATGAAAATATCTCCAAATTAAATATCTCTACTTCAGTTGTTTTATTTCTAAAGAAAATCTTAAATTATGCAATTGTAATGGAGGGTACTATTTTGACTATGCTAAGGTCATCATTGTATACTTGAGAACCAGAAGAAATTTTAGTGAAGTTCAAAACCATTTCAGTAATACAGTGCTTTAGGAATTCAGTCTTAGTTAGAAAATTGTAAAAAAAACCCCAATTTGTGTCATTAAATTATATTACCCCCCAGCCAGAAAAGGAATACATGAAGAGCTCTGTGCCTATACATAATGGGATCTGTTGTCCAGCCACTACTGAAACCAGGCTGAAATTGCACAAATAACCTTGTAAGGATGACATTTGAATGCCAGCTAAGCTACCAATATGAAATCAGTCCATGCACATATGGACCACAAGTTGCAAGCACTATTCACGTATCCTGCACGAAATGAATCTGTCAGTCTCAATTCATGTCCCATGTCTACATCATAAAAATGTACCCTTAAAAATGACCTTTCTTCCTGGGAGTTTCAGCAAAGACATCAGAGGAAGAAGGAGACACAGGAAACAAAGCTCCTTTGAACCCCTAAGGCACGTCACAGAGGAGCAGCATGGGAGAACTGATTCTCAGGGCCAATGAGAAGGGAATGATGCAGGAATGGGCCCTCATAAATCTTGTAACTGCAGCAGATCATAAATCACAAGCTATAAGCTATTCTGGATCTACCTGTGGTCTGCAGAGGAGTTTAAACTAATGACTGCCAATAGCTGCATTTTCAAATGTGTATCCCTAATGCTCATGCATAATAGCCTTCAGAAGTGAATTTTGGTTCAAAGTTCAAACTGAAATCCATTTTTTTTAACATATCCATGTATAAAAATTTTGAATTTTGTTGAAAAAAAAGCCACCCAGCTGCAAATTTCAGACCAGGACCAAGCCACTCATATAGATTTGGGGTTTTATTCAAATAGTGCCACAACTCTGGGCTTACCTTTCTGCTGTTTGGGGAACAGGGGGGTCTGCACATCTAGACAGACCTCTTTCAATAAGAAATATCAGAAGTTCAGAAATATCAATCAGAAGTTGGCTAAATATTTGTAAGTGGAGTTGTGTGTTTTGGGTTGTTAGCTGGCAAGATATTTCTCTGCAATGCATTTAAGAGATTTATCTTCTTTTTTTTTTCAAAATGTCAATGAGCAGATATATTTTTCACAAATTATTCAATGAGTAATTGCCAACATACTTCTGCCCATGAGATTGCTCACAAGCTACTCACTAAAATGACTGTTTTGTGTATTTTAGGAACTTATCACTCATAAATTAGTATTTATAGGGGGTTGTTGGTCATCCCAATCACCTGACATCTTTTTTTTACCCTTGGTTGGTAAACTTATAACCCATCAAAGGCTTTCCTAAAAGCTATGTGCAGTTCCAGTTCAAGCATTCATATGGATACAGAAATGCATCATTGCATGTGACAATTTTTCTACAGAATGTCATCTAATGAATGTTTGTGGAAAGTGAAGGAATTGCCTCAATTACCATCAAAACAAATAGTTATATTCAAACAAAAGTTCACTTTTTTTTCAACTGTCATCAGTCTTTATGTACTAACCTCCATTGACAGAATACATTTTCAGATTTTACAGATGAATAGAACATTTGTTAAAACTACTCTAAAATTCTTAGTTTAGAACATAATGATTCCAGTGCTGTATACTCACAGAAGCCCTAAATATACAGCATAATAAGTAACCATGAATAATACTTAATATAATTTAAAGTGTATCGGAATTTGGGTCCACCTGCCCTGTGCATGCCCCTCTTCAAGGGTGTGTTTGTTAATCTCAAAACACTGCAAACTCAATGCCATACCTTCTAACTTCCCCACGTGTTTCCCATTGATTTAATTATATAGTGACATCCACACTAGTGAGGCTCCTCCATAAAAACATAGCACAGTTTTCTGAATGGTTTCCCAACAACAAAATCCAGTTCACTTTGCTAACTCATGAAATAAGCGGACTAGCTCCCATGAGTTAAGCAAACAGTATTGGTCCCACAGAATATTTCACTCAACTATCAGTCTAACAGAAATCCTCAGAATAGCAAAAACACCCAAGATATTTTGTTCACTTATCCAAGACAGCTCTAGAACTAGATACACTCATTTGAGAATGTAGACACAACCTTAATAGACTACAATAAATCTTCATGGCCCTGTATCATCACTGATTTGCCCGGGATATATCAGCATTTAATTAAAATATTGTCTTTTATTTCCGATTTTCATGTGTAGCTTTGTAAAATATTATTAACAAGAAATTTAAAGTCTTCTCAGTTAACAAAATAGTCACCAGAATGAAACCTCTTCTCCTTGGCTAGCAGTGTGCCTCCTAGACCACGACCAACAAATGGTCTGACTCAGTGAGCAGAAGCCTGGTTAACATACCTAGCCAAATTCAACCAGAGCTTGCACCAGAGGATGTTCCAGAATGAAGACGTACCTTGAAAGATTATACTGGCACAAAATAATTCTGGTGGTCTTCTGAAGAGCCTAAAAGGGATCAAAATAGTCTGAATGCTCAAATAAAAAACTTTTGACCAAGTACATCCTTTCAGTAGGACCTGCATTACAGGGTCTCTGTGGATCGTGTCAGCAAACTACAAGTCATAAAAAATTACCTGAGAAAGTATTAAACAATTTACTGTCTGCCTTCAGTACCTTGGGGCTTTAGCAAGGGTTTTATAATAGATAATGTCCTTCATGGTGGCATTTGTGCCAGAGTTTCTGGCAACAGATGCACAGGGACTACAGTGAATGGGGCCCAGGAATAAAAACAGCAATGCCTTTCCGGCCTTACTGGTCACTCTCCCACTGCACATCCTTGCTGCCCTACTGCATTACAGAAGAAACTGATATTCATTAATTAAAACAAATAATATTTATAGAATCCCTTTCTCTATCCTTGGGGAAATACAAATTCAAACACAATCAAACACAATCACAAGAGCAAACTATTAAACAGCTGAAAATAGTAAGCTATTCCAGCATTCATCAGAACAAAATCTCAGGTTTGAGTGAGAAGGCAAAGGGATTGACAAAGAGAAGTAACTACAGCCCTTGTTAAAAGAATCAAGCCTTCCATCTTGTTGCTGTAGCAAAGGCACCCACAATTCACCTGCAAGCCTGCCGGCTACACCTTCTCTGAAACATCAAATGATGCCAGGGACACTACTGTTGGCACCTCTTCTCCAGTTTCTCAAAGAACCCTGGCATGGCAGAGGCCAGGACCAAAGAGCACTCTCCTAAACAGCTCCTGGGTGAGGACTGAAAGCTACCACAAGCTAGAGACTGTCTTCAAAAAACATTTTGCATATGTCTTGGGAGATCAAGGCAGCTTAGTAGCATGGGTACTGGATGCTTTGTGCCAGTTGACATTGGTGCCAGAGAATGGTCCAGGATGCGTATCATTCACTAGCATGGATACAGCCAGTGATGTGAGCCTTCCAGATACATGGTGCCAGGTCTGAGGAGTCTCTCAGTGAGCTGCCAGTTTCCTTTTCTTTAAGGATTTTAAAGCTATATGCCTAAGATTTGAAAGAATGTAGTGTACACTCTGTGGCAACTTTAATCTGCTAGATGGCTTTTGCAAAAGACTGTATCTAGTAGTTCCTTCCTCTGCTGACCTGATAACATCAGCACGGATCCCAGACTTCAAATGTTTCATGGCTTGGCACCATGGGCAGCCAAAACCTTGTGTATACAACTAGTAAAGACAGCGATACAGTTCTAGGGAACCTGGGGATGGGGTGGTAAAAGAGAGTTTTAGAAAATTCGTTTTCCATGCCCTTATTGGTGGCCAGAAGTGCTCCAAATTTTACCATTCCCCACCATTACTCTAGCAGGCTTCTTCCCCCTCCTCAATGAACTCTTGATGCTGAGAAGAGCTTTTTTCCCTAGAAGGCCTAACAAAACTGAGGTGTCTAGAAGACACTGCTGAGTGACTTTGGGTACTCTGTTTCTGCATCACTGACAAAGCCAGGGAAAGAAGAGGTAGAAATGCAGATAGGATTGTGGTGAGCTATGTACCACAGGGATTTACTGATC